TCGCAGCCCCAGTCCATCTTTTATTAAGGAGACCTCAGTAACCATGCTCAAATTTTACTGTCCTATATTCATGGCCAATATCCTAGCAGACAACATGGTTTGGAGAATTGTAGGCACAAGGTGTGTAGACTTCATTTCTCATAGAGCATAGTTAATAACAAGATTCCAAGAGGGGAAATTACTTGCATCATAGTCCTTGAGAACTAATGATCATCATAGGTGATCTAAAGAATTTAGAAGGTTTGTGAGCCCCTAGAATGAAAAAGTCACTGAGAGCACAAGGACAGTTTCTAGAGTTTATTTTGATGGATTTTAGCCCCTTTCATCAGAGGGAGGCCCATATAAGCTGGACTGATTTGTAGCAAAGGTGACAATTAATTTTGTAAATGAGGTATGCATTGCACTAAAACCCAAGTAGGATGATTAGGCTTGTATGTACTTGAGAAGTCTGTCAGATCATCTCATTCCTGGAGCTTGTCATCTATGTGATGCATGCTTGTGTTCCTGATAAGTGGTGGGTGTGGTTAATTGTTTTTGCAAAAATTGTGTTTGATGGCAAAGTCAATGAGGTGCCCATGTATACCTCAGAAGAAGTATCTTTTCAAGGTGAAGGCAAACTGAGACTGAGGGGCTTTTGGAAAAACTTTGAACAAAACACATTTGCCACACTTGTAATAGTTAAGACACATCATTTATCTATTGAGATGCATCAGATTTGTTACATTAGGTATAGGTACAGTGGTCATGGTGGGTGGCATACAGCAGTATGATTTTAGTAATCTATCATGAGGTGCTTTTTTTTTTTTAAAAATAGATTTAGCAGATTAAATTGGGCTGCCTAATGGGGAATAGCTGGAGTAATCTCCTTTTTGTTAAATAAATCTGAGGCAATAAATGTCAGTGTAAGAAGACATTGAGTTTTCTTTTATTGAGCCATCTTGGTTATTTTAATCTGGGATCTGTGAATTCTCATTTTCTCTAGCCAAGTTGCAACTTAAAAAGTATTTTATTCCTCATCATGTTGGACTAACTCTGCTGCTTCTGGGATTTTTTTGTACATCTGACAATTGGAAATGGAGACAATAGTATAATTAAAATGAGATGTACCAAGTAAAGTATGTATTTTTCTTCTGATACATATTTTGGAATTCTTCTAAAATTCCTTGTTAAATTTAGTTGAATCCCTGGTTAAGACATATTGGAGCCACACTACTGAGTACACCTATGAAACTTTGTTCATAAATGCATATAGAACCTGGGAAAGTTGATGTATATCTTATGCTGTAGAGACATAAGATGGAACATCTTTTTTTATCCTTTTTCATTATAAAATTTAAAAACAAATTTTAGGTTTTCAATAGGATCAAATCATGATAAATTTAAATACAATTCCCAAGAATTCTTTCCACATTTGAATTTCTCCACTTTTACTATGTTTCTTTAGGTTGTAAATATGTCAAGCATTAATGAGGAATTGATTATTATGTGGATATCTCTTGTGGTTAGACAAGTTCTGATGTAACCCCTCTGTGTCCAAGGAGACTGATTTTCTAGCTGATGTATGGATCATCTTCATTGCTTCTAATGGAGACATGCATTGGTATCTGGGAATCTAGCCTCATCTGCCCATGATGTCAGCAGCTCAGGACCATGGGAAATCTCCTCTGGCCTCCTTCTCAGCATGTGCCATTCCAACCATTCCCACCATCTTCACAGAATTCCTGACTCTGGGGCTTTCCTCATATTGCTCAAGAACTGTGTGGTTGGTTTCTGTGTCTGTGGATGTTAGTGTGAGGGTGAAAGGAACCTTGGAGAGCAGGACAGGTGTCTGTCTCTTGGTGGCATAGGTGACAGTCATAGATCTGAGGTATTAAGTTATGTCATTCAGGTGCACCCTGTAGATCTTGGCTGGCCTAGGAAGGGACACCAATGCCACATCCTCAGTTCTGGAGCTGGAGAAAGGGTGAATAAGGTTGAGATTTTAAAGATATTTTTATCAAAAATTGGTGCACTGAAACAAGACCAATGTGTTTCCCATTGTACAGAGGCAGCTACAAAAGTTCTGTAGAAAGACTGTTTCATCCAGAGCCAGCACTGTGGTGCAGTAGGTTAATCCTCCATGTGGGGTGCCGGCATCCCATATGGGCACCATTTCTAGTCCCGGCTGCTCTTCTTCTTATCCAGCTCTCTGCTGTGGCCTGGCAAAGCAGCAGAAGATGGCCTAGGAGCTTGGGCTCCTGCACCTGGGTGGGAGCCCAGGAAGAAGCACCTGACTCCTGGCTTTAGATCAGCACAGCTCCATCCATTGTGTCCATTTTGAGAGTGAACCAATGGAAGGAAGACATTTCTCTCTGCCTCTCTCTCTCACTGTCTGTAATTCTACCTGTCAAACAAATAAAATTCTTAAAATAAGAAAGAAAGTCTGTTTCATGCAAGATGGCAATGTGATGGAGCTGGGTGTTCAGGCCATTTGAGATGAAACCTGTATGGGTGACTGTCGATTGCAGCTCTGTCACTGTTTTGAACCGTCACTCACATGGGATACAGGCAGCAGCTTTACCCACTAAGCCACAGTGCCAGTCCCCAAAATAACTTTCATTAATGTAATTTTTACTGAATGTAATTCATTTCAACAATAACAAAGTTTTACTGTTTTTTTTTATTATTACAATATCATTTAATAAAATTTTGGCAATGCTTTCATTAAACCAAAGATAATTTCTGATTAATCTCTGCCACTTAATAGAGGTGGGTTCAGTTGCCATGTATTTGCATGTTTAAATAATTTTTCTTCCGTGGTGAAGTTTATGTTTTCTTTATTTATGTATTCATGATTCTTTATTCATTCTAGCACTCCTTTTTCTACAGTGCAATGTAGAAAGAAAGCCATGAAATTTTCTTTTAAATCCTTGCATTTATGTTTTCTTCCAGGTATGATTCAGGGCACCTCCAGATATTTCAGAGAGCAAAGAAAATTTATACATCACCTGCAGATTGTGTACTTTTAAAAACATATTTATTTTATGCATTTGAAAGACAGAGTCACAGAGAGTAACAGAAAAAGAGAGAGAGAAAGAGAGTCTTGCATCTGCTGGTTCATTCCCCAAAAGGCCACAATGGTCAGAGCTGAGCCAATCTACAGGCAAGAGGCAGGATCCTTCTGCATCTCTCACATAGGTGCATGGGTTCCACGCCCTTGAGTCATCCTCCAGTACCTTCCCAGTAAGATTTGTAGGAGCAGGATTTGAGGTAGAGAAGCCAGGACTCAAACTGGCACTCATATGGGATGCTGGCTCTGAGGGCTAGGGCTTTATCCCACTGTGCAATAGCACTGGCCCTGTAAGTGTTTTTTTTTTTAATTATTCTCAGGTTGCTGTCAGTTTTCTTTTTAGATTTATAATAATTTGTTAATAAAAATGGAAAAATAAAGATAAATTTTATTCTTAGGGAATATATAAAAACAAGACAAATGAATTTGTCATGACTATCAAGCATTGAAGTACTCTAACATAAGGCAATTTGTTCTCATCTTTCTGTTGCCATAGCAAATACATATTATTTATATTTTTAAATGAGGCTTCAAGGATAATATTCGAAATTGGGGGTCATGATGTCAAATACAGTCGTTATTGTTATATAGAAGATGTAGTGGGCAGTGTTTCAGTACCACCATGGAAATAAACACTGAACATTCTGCAAGGGTAAGAGTTAGCTAGTGCTAAAACACAAATCAGTTGCATTTATTTTTTTAATTGTTAGAGTAATGCAGACCTTCATAATTTGGGGAGCTGACCTTGATTCAGAGATAGCATAAGGGCTGTGTGAGGAAAAAAATCTATTGCAGGTTCTTTTATGTTTTAAGTTTTTATTTAAAAATTTATTTTTTATTTGAAAGTCAGAGTTACAAAGAGAGAGAGGCAGAGAGAGAGAGAGAGGAGAGATCTTCATCTGCTGGTTCACTCCTTGGCTGCCTACAATGCCCGGAGCTGTGCTGATCTGAAGCCAGGAGCCAGAGCTTCTTCTCAGTCTCCCACATGGGTTAAAGGGCCCAAGGGTTTGGTTCTTCTTCTACTGCTTTCCCAGGTCATAGCAGAGTGCTAGATCAGAAGTGGAGCAGCTGGGTCTAGAAATGGCACCCATATGAGATGTCAGCACTTTAGGCAAGGGTGTTAACCCACTGCACCACAACTCTGGCCCCAAGATTTATTTATTAACTTATTTGAAAAGCAAATAGAGATATGGAAGGATGGGTAGTAAGAGATACCTTCCATCTACTGGTTCATTCACAAAATGACCACAGGCATCCCATGTGGAGCACCAAGGACTCAAACTGTTCACATTGGGATGCCTGAATTGCAGGTGGAGGGTGCAGGCTTATCTGCTGCACCATAATACTGGTGCCTACTACAGGTTCTCAAACAAATCTCTCTGCATTTCCCTCAGTCACAAATGCAGATTATAGTACAGAATTTCTCAAGGAAATTTCTTTGGAAATTTGATGCAGAGATAGAGTATCTGAGCTGACTTCATAAACACTAAGTTAAGTCTGTAATGTCTCAATTTAAAATTTTTTTTTCTCTGCCATAATTGCATTGACTGTGCATGGTGTTTTCCTGGAAATTCTTCTCTGTTCAAACTCTTCATAGCTTCCCTGATGGTTTCTTGTCTTTTTCCCTGAATACTTCTACATTCTTCTGAACATTGCTCATTCCAGAGTGACTATTGTCCCCCTTTCAGCCTCCTGTGCAATTGCCCTTGACATAGTCTGGCCTTTCTGAACAGAAATTCCTGTTTCCCTCCAGCTTGGGCATTTTTCACAGCCTTTATACCACAGGTTTGATCCCCTGTTGAATGCTTCTGTGTGGCTGTCCAAATGCTCAACAAATCTGAAATGAAATGGCATCCTTCCTTCTTCCTCCATATGCATGCAGTAGTTATACATCTGCCATTTTTTGTTATGTGACAGAGTTGACATGTTGACCAGGAGTGTTCTATCACAGGTGATGATAACATTTGAAGACCTGGCTGTGTACTTTACCTGGGAGGAATGGCAGAACATGAACCAAGCTCAGAAAATCCTGTACAGGGATGTGATGCTGGAGACCTACAGCAGCCTGTTCTCCTTGGGTGAGTGACACTCATCACATGCCCAGTGGTAACATTTTCTCACTATTTGACAAATAAGTGAGCACTATTAATAAACTTTATAAATGAGGGACAGGAATAGAATTTGAGTCCATGAAGAATCTGATTATATACCATCTGAGAAGGAATTCAAATTGGAACATTTGTTGCATAGCTCCTGGACCAAGCTGTTTACCTTTAATTAACCCAAGACAGTGATTTCACAAAGTGTTACATTATTTCCATTAATAGGGCATTGCATGACCAAACCTGACTTGATCTTGAAGTTGGAGCAAGGAGCAGAGCCCTGGATGGGGAAAGAATGCTTACATCATAGCCTTCCAGGTCAGTGTGTACATAATGGTCAGGGAGGCCAAAGTAGAATCATTGCAGCAGATGTTGAGTGGTGCTCTTTCTATGAATTTTTTCCAAGTCTTACTTCAGACACAGTTATTCTACAGTATCTGTGGAGATCAGTATCTCATAAAGGCAAAGGAAATGAAGTTTCATGTGTAAATCAGCAACTGATCAAAATCTCCAGAATTGCATATTATCACAGAGGAGTGTTTATGTAAAAAATGAAAGGAGGTCACCAGGAATGACAAATTCACAATGAGATAGAAATAAATTTTTAAGAAATTAAGCAGATTCTGGTCTGCAGAAACAAATTTTTTAAATTGCTTGTGAATGTATACCGAAGGTGGTACATTGGGTCTTTCTGTAACTATTGTAGTTCTCAGAGGCTGAGGATATCAGGTTGCCTTAGAAATATCAGAAACTGTAATAGAGTGCAGATAAAACAGTTTTTCATTAGAAAAATCCCACAAATGCTGTTTCCCTGGGAAGACAGAACATGAGACAACCACAGATGGAAATCTTGTCCTTTAAATGTGATCCTGCTTGGAATACAGACACATTAAACTCTTCTCCACCTGCAAGAAAATGATCCAGTAAAAGTTTCCCATATTGATGTTTGAAATATCAGAGAAGTACAAAACAGACAATTTTATAAAAATGAACTGGAATGAATAGGACAAGGAAAAATTGATTTCTTGGCAATAGGTGATTATTTTTACCAAACATATGTCCTTTCTTTAAAATCTTATATAGTTGTTTCACCTTTGTGAAAGGCAGAAAGTCAGTGAGAGGAGAAACAGTGAGAAAGAGATTTCCTATTAGCTGCCTCCCCAGATACCTGCAACAGTTAGGTCTGACTAATTTGAAGCCAGAAGCCTGGCATTCCAACTATTCTAATCTGATGTATCACAGGGTCCCAAGCACAAGAGCCATTATCTCCTGCCCCCTGGTATACATTAGTAGAGAGCTGTATTTGAAGCAGAGTATCCTGGGCTTAAATTGGCACTGTTTTTGGATGCAGACATTCGAAGCAATGACTTGTATTCATTTTGTTAATTCTATCCCTGTTAAATACAAGTAACTTCATTCCTTTTACATGAGTATGCCAGGAAAAAGAATTGTTTGATTTATTGACAGCACTGTTTTTTTTCTCACTTCAGTTGCCATGAAAAGGGGTGACCTGATTAGGAAAAAACAGAAAAGTCAGGACAAAAATCTGAATCAGAATGTTATGAAAAACAATAAGACATCAACTCCCAAGATAATTGAATTAAGAAAAACACTTCATTTAAGTTCAAACCATATTCCAAAACTGAGTATCAAAAAGAGAATCTATTCAGGAATGAAACCTGAAGAACGCAATGTATGTCACAATGTGTATCCGCACTGTGGGCCTGTTCAACTACAAACTGGAGAAAAATTTGATGCTACTAATGTGCCTGGGAATGCTCTCCAGATCTGTGAGGCTCTTAATCAACAGCACAAAAATCAGACTGTGCAACAGGCATTTGAACCAATCGGAAAAGGGAAAGTCTTCAAAAGGAAAAATATATTTTGTAAATCTGAGAGGCATTTTATGGTAGAAAGTAAGAAATCAACTGCCACCATTGGCAAGACAACTCAAATAGAACAAGATTTCCTTAAAAATTCTAACCTCAGTATGCATCAACAAAGTCCCAGAAGAGAGAAAGTTTATGAATATAGTAGTTCTTTGGAACCTGTCATTGATCAATCACCTCTTAAAATAAATCATAGACCACATATAGGGAAGAAACCCTATGCATGTAAGCCTTGTGGAAAATCATTCAGTTATAAATTCTGCCATGCAATTCATTACGGTACTCACATAGTGGAAAACTCTCATGTGTTTAATCAACATGGAGAAGCCACTTACCAGAAGTCACAACTCATAAATCATCAGAGAATTCACTCAGGTGAGAAACCTTATGAATGTAATGACTGTGGAAAATCCTTTGGCCAGAAGTCACACCTCATAAAGCATCAGATAATTAACACAGGGAATAAACTTTATGAATGTAATAACTGTGGAAAAGCTTTTGGCCTTGAGTCACACCTCATAAATCACCAGAGAATTCACACGAGAGAGAAACCTTATGAATGCAGTGACTGTGGAAAAGCCTTTCACTATAAATCAATCCTCACAAAGCATCAGAAAATTCACACAGGGGATAAGCCTTATGAATGTAATGACTGTGGAAAAGCCTTTGGCCGGAAGTTCCATTTCATAAATCATCAGAGAATTCACACAGGGGAGAAACCTTATGAATGTAATGACTGTGGAAAAGCCTTTGGGAAAAAGTCACACCTCATAAATCACCAAAGAATTCAAGAAACCTTATGAATGCAATGAGTGTGGAAAAGCCTTTGGCCAGAAGTCACACCTCATAACACATCAGAAAATTCACACAGGGAAGAAACCTTATGAAAGCAATGAGTGTGGAAAAGCCTTTGGCCAGAAGTCACACCTCATAACACATCAGAAAATTCACACAGGGGTGAAACCTTATGAATGCAGTGACTGTGGAAAAGCCTTTCGCTGTAAATCAGCCCTCACAAAGCATCAGAGAATTCACACAGGGGATAAGCCTTATGAATGTAATGACTGTGGAAAAGCCTTTATGTGGAAGTCTTGTCTCATCCTACATCAGAGAATTCACATAGGGGAAAAACCTTATGAATGCAATGACTGTGGTAAAGCCTGTAGCCAGAAGTCAAACCTCATAACTCATCAGAAAATTCACACAGGAGAGAAACCTTATGAATGCAATGAGTGTGGCAAAGCTTTTGGCCAGAAGTCACACCTCATAACTCATCAGAAAATTCACACAGGGGTGAAACCTTATGAATGCAGTGACTGTGGAAAAGCCTTTATGTGGAAGTCATGTCTCATCCTACATCAGAGAATTCACACGGGGGAAAAACCTTATGAATGCAGTGACTGTGATAAAGCCTTTGGCCAGAAGTCACATTTCATAAATCATCAGAGAATTCACACAGGGGAGAAACCTTATGAATGCAATGAGTGTGGGAAAGCCTTTGGCCAGAAGCCACACCTCTTAAGGCATCAGAAAATTCACACAGGGGAGAAACCTTATGAATGCAGTGACTGTGGAAAAGCCTTTGGCCGGAAGTCCCATTTCATAAATCATCAGAGAATTCACACACGGGATAAGCCTTATGAATGTAATGACTGTGGAAAATCCTTTATGTGGAAGTCACATCTCATCCTACATCAGAGAATTCACATGGGGGAAAAACCTTATGAATGCAATGACTGTGGTAAAGCCTTTGGCCGGAAGTCACAGCTCATAACTCATCAGAAAATTCACACAGGAGAGAAACCTTATGAATGCCATGAGTGTGGGAAAGCCTTTGGCAAGAAGGCATACCTCATAAATCATCAGAGAATTCACACAGGGGAGAAACCTTATGAATGTAATGACTGTGGAAAAGCCTTTGGGAAGAAGTCACACCTCATAAATCACGAAAGAATTCACACAGGAGAGAAACCTTATGAATGTAATGACTGTGGAAAAGCCTTTCGCTGTAAATCAGCCCTCACAAAGCATTAGAGAATTCACACAGGGAAGAAACCTTATGAATGTAATGACTGTGGAAAAGCCTTGGCCGGAAGTCCCATTTCATAAATCATCAGAGAATTCACACAGGGGAAAAGCCTTATGAATGTAATGACTGTGGGAAAGCCTTTATGTGGAAGTCACATCTCATCCTACATCAGAGAATTCACACGGGGGAAAAACCTTATGAATGCAATGACTGTAGAAAAGCCTTTCTTAAGAAGTCATCTCTCATCCTACATCAGAGAAGTAATACAGAGGAGAAACCCTATGAATACAATGACAGTGGGAAACCATTTGGTCACAAATCAAGCCTCATAAGTCATCAGAGAATTCACACAGCGTAGAAAGATTATGAATGTAATGACTGGAAAAGCCTTTCTGAGTAAGTCAGCTCTAGCACCCACATCAGAGAATTCGCACAGGGGAAAAACCTGATGAATGTAAAGACTGGAAAGTCTTTACCCATAAGTCAAACCTCAAAAGGCATCAGAGAAGTCACACAGGGGATAAACCTTCTGAATGCAATGACTTGGAAAAGCCTTTGGCCAAAAGTCAAGCCTTGTAAATAATTAGAGAAGCCATACAGGAGAAACCTTATGAATGTAATGACTGTGGAAAAGTTTTCTTTGCAAATTTCTATGCAGTTCAGAGCTCAATGAATATCAAAGAAGTCACAGGAGAGAAACTTCATGATGGCAATGACTGCAGAAGCCTCTGTTCATATGATAAACATCACAAAGCATCAGAGAATTCACATGGGGAGAAATGTCATGAATAATGATAGTAGAAAGTCTTTTGTTATAATTTTAAACTAATAAAACATCACAGAATTAACAGGGAATTTTCCACACAATTGCCTTTTTGTGCAAGTTCCTTTTCATTAAATAACAGAATCCATTAAGAGGAGAACAATAAGATTATAATCAGTGTGGATATGCCTTTGGTGCCAATTATACCTCATCAAGCATAACAGAATTCACATGGGGAAAATCTTATGAATGTAATGACTCAAAGTCTTTTACCATAACTTAGCCCACATTACACATCATCAAATTCATACAGGGAAAAAAACCTTTGAAAGTAATCTTGTGGAAAAGCCTTTACTTAGAAGTCGTACCCCACAAGACATCAGAGAATTCACATGGGGGAGAATTCTTATGAATGTAATGAGAGTTGGAAAGGTCTGCCAAAATCTCAGCTTACAACATCAGAATTCACAAAGTGGAGATCTTATGAATGAAATAAATGTGGGAAAGCTTTTTGTCATAGGTCATACCTCATAATCCATCATCTAATTTGAACGGGGAGAGACTTTGAGAATATAATAAGGGATTGGCTCTGTGGCTCATTTGGTTAATCACCCCCTTGTGGTACCGGCATTTCATATGGGCACCGGGTTCTAGTACTGGTCACTCCTTCCAGTCCAGGTCTCTGCTGTGGCCCAGGAAGGCAGTGAAGGATGGCTCAAGTCCTTGGGCCCCTGCACCAGCATGGGAAACCAGGAGGAAGCACCTGGATCCTGGCTTTGGATCGGCATAATTCCAGCTGCAGCAGCCACTTGGGGGAGAACCAATGTAAGAAAGATGTTTTTCTCTGTCTCTCTAACTCTATCTGTCATAGAAAGAAAGAGTGAGAGAGGGAGGGAGGGAGAGAGAGAGAGAGAGAGAGAGAGAGAGAGAGAATGTATATATTGCATGTGGAAGAGTTTCCCTTCCCTGTAGTATGTCCTGAAATCTGGTATTGTGATGCCTCCAGCTTTGTTTTTGTTGTACAAGATTGCTTTAGCTATTCGAGGTCTCCTGTGCCTCCATATGAATTTCAGCATCATTTTTCCAGATCTGAGAAGAATGTCTTTGGTATCCTGATTGGAATTGCATTGAATCTATAAATTGCTTTTGGCATAATGGGCATTTTGATGATATTGATTCTTCCAATCCATGAGCATGGAAGATTTTTCCATTTTTTGGTATCCTCTTCTATTTCTTTAAGGTTTTGTAATTCTTATCATAGAGATCTTTGACATCCTTGGTCAAGTTTATTCCCAGGTATTTGTTTTTGTAGCTATTGTGAATGGGATTGATCTTAGCAGTTCTTTCTCAGCTATGGTATTGCCTGTGTACATAAATGCTGTTGATTTTTGTGCATGGATTTTATTACCTGCTACTTTGCCAAACTCTTCTATGAGTTCCATTAGTCTAGTAGAGTTCTTTGGATCCCCTAAATAAAGAATCATATCATCTGCAAAGAGGGATAGTTGACTTCTTCCTTCCCAATTTGTATCCCTTTAATTTCTTCTTGCCCAATGGGTTTGGCTATAACTTCCAGTACTATATTGAATAGCAATGGTGAAAGTCGGCATCCCTGTCTAGTGTAATGAATGTGGAAGACATTTTCTGGGAATTCAGGCTTGTATGAATATAGAATTCACAACAGGTCATATTTTTTGAATGCTGTAAGTATGAGCATTCCATTAGCCAGAAATTAGACATCAACAGACTTCAGAGAATTCATAAAGAGAAAAATCAATGTAATGAATGTGAAAAAAATCCTTCTGCTATAAGTCAGTCTTCTATTCACATGAAGAGGCTCAGAAGTGAGAAAACTTGTAAAAAAAGAAAAGTTTTGTGTGACCAGTCACCTCTAGATGGTAAACTGATAACTCACACAAAGCAATAAGCATATGAATGTAATGGAATTGGGAGTACCTTTACTGTAAAGCAAATTTCCAGAAAACAAGATTACATTTACAGAAAAGTCTCTGAAACTGTGAAGTGTCTGAAGGAATTGTTTTTTTGGAATCACACCTCAGCAAGTGTGATGAATTGCCATGAAGACTGGTTAACCATTCTTGAGAGATTCTTTCTCTTATACTACCTTCCTTTTTTAGTTTCCCATTATTATGAATGGAACCAGACAAATGAACTGTGTTTTCATGTATAAAGTTTGCTGACAAATATTCAACAATTGCAGCAGTTGATACAACAGTTATTTCAACAGTTTTTTGAAATGCCATCTTAATCTCTTAGTAGAGTTCTTTGGATCCTCTAAGTACAGAATCATATCATCTGCAAAGAGGGATAGTTTGACTTCTTCCTTCTCGATTTGTATTCCTTTGATTTCTTTTTCTTGTCTGATGGCTCTGGCTAAAACTTCCAGAACTATGTTAAATAGCAGTGGTGAGAGTGGGCATCCCTGCCTGGTGCCAGATTTCAGTGGAAATGCTTCCAACTTTTCCCCATTCAATAGGATGCTGGCTGTGGGTTTTTTATAAATTGCTTTGATTATATTGAGGAATGTTCCTTCTATACCCAATTTGCTTAGAGTTTTCATCATGAAAGGGTGTTGAATTTTATCAAATGCTTTCTCTGCATCAATTGAGATAATCATATGGTTTTTCTTCTGCAGTCTGTTAATGTGGTGTATCACATTGATTGATTTGCGAATGTTGAACCATCCCTGCATACCAGGGATGAATCCCACTTGGTCTGGGTGGATGATTTTCCTGATGTGTTGTTGTACTCTATTGGCCAGAATTTTATTGAGGATTTTTGCGTCTATGTTCATCAGGGATATTGGTCTGTAATTTTCTTTCAGTGCTGCTTCTTTCTCTGGCTTAGGGATTAAGGTGATGCTGGCTTCATAGAAAGAATTTGGGAGGATTCCCTCTTTTTCGATTGTTCTGAATAGTTTGAGAAGAAATGGGATTAGTTGTTCTTTAAATGTCTGGTAGAATTCAGCAGTGAATCCATCTGGTCCTGGGCTTTTCTTTGTTGGGAGGGCCTTAATTACTGTTTCAATTTCTGTCTCAGTTATGGGTCTATTTAGGTTTTCTATGTCTTCATGGTTCAATTTTGGTAGATTGCATGTGTCCAGGAATCTATCCATTTCTGATAGGTTTTCCTGTTTGCTGGAATACAGGTCCTTGTAGTAATTTCTGATGATTCTTTTTATTTCTGTGGTGTCTGTTGTTACGTTTCCTTTTTCATCTCTGATTTTATTGATTTGGGTCTTTTCTTTTTTTAGTTAGTTGGGCCAATGGGGTGTCAATTTTGTTTATTTTTTCAAAAAACCAGCTTCTCGCTTGGCTGATTTTTTGTAGTGTTTTTTTTTTTTGGATTCAATCCTGTTAATTTCTTCTCAGGTTTTAATTATTTCTCTTCTCCTACTAGATTTGGGTTTGGTTTGCTGCAGTTTTTCTAGGTCCTTGAGATGCGCTGAAAGCTCATTTATTTGGTACCTTTCCAATTTCTTGATATAGGCCCCTATTGCTATAAATTTACCTCTCAATACTGCTTTTGCCGAATCCCATAAGTTTTGATATGTTGTGTTGTTGTCTTCATTTACTTCCAGAAAGTTTTTGATTTCTCTTTTGATTTCTTGAATGACCCAGTGTTCATTCAGGAGCATGTTGTTCAGTCTCCATGTGTTTGCATACTTTCTGGGGTTTCCTGAGTTGCTAATTTCCAGCTTCATTCCGCTGTGGTCTGAGAAGCTGCATGGTATGATTCTAATTCTTTTAAATTTGCTGAGACTTGCTTTATGGCCTAGTATGTGATCAATCCTAGAGAAGGTTCCATGCACTGCTGAGAAGAATGTTAAGTCTGTAGATGTAGGGTTGAAAGTTCTGTAGATATCTGTTAGATCCATTTGGGCAATAGTGTCAATTAAATCTGCTGTTTCCTTGTTGATCTTCTGTCCGGATGATCTGTCTATTTCTGAGAGTGGAGTATTGAAGTCCCCCAGGACTATTGTATTGGAATCTAAATCTCCCTTTAAGTCCCTTAACATATCTTTTAAATAGACCGGTGCCCTGTAATTAGGTGCATATACATTTGTAACAGTTACATCTTCCTGTTGAATTGAACCCTTAATCATTATATAGTGTCCCTCTTTGTCTCTTTTAACGGTTTTTGTATTAAAGTTTATTTTGTCTGATATTAATATGGCTACACCTGCTTTTTTTTTTTTTGGTTTCTGTTGGCATGGAATATCTTTTTCCAACCTTTCACTTTCAGTCTGCATGCCTCTTTGTTAGAGAGATGTGTTTCTTGTAGGCAACAAATAGTTGGGTTGTGTTCTTTGAGCCAGTCAGCCAAACGGTCTTTTAACTGAAGAATTCAGACCACTAATGTTCAATGTGACTATTGATACGTAGTGACTTTGCCCTGCCATTTTCCCGGAAATATTTTCTAGTATATGCTTTGAGCTTCCCATGCTCTTTTACTGGTAGGTGTTCTTCCTTTCCCTTCTTTCATATTGATGGCCGTTTTTCTGTGTTTCTGAGTGTAGCACATCTTTATGTATCTTTTGCAGGGCCAGACGAGTGGCCACAAAGTCTTTCAGTTTCTGTTTGCTATGAAAGGTCTTTATTTCACCTTCATTCACAAATGAGAGCTTGGCAGGATATAATATCACCTCACCCCGGTTAGAATGGCTCACATACAGAAATCTACCAACAACAGATGCTGGCGCGGATGTGGGGAAAAAGGGACACTAACCCACTGTTGGTGGGAATGCAAACTGGTCAAGCCACTATGGAAGTCAGTCTGGAGATTCTTCAGAAACCTGAATATAACCCTACCGTTCGACCCAGCCATCCCACTCCTTGGAATTTACCCAAAGGAGTTTAAATTGACAAACAAAAAAGCGGTCTGCACCCTAATGTTTATTGCAGCACAATTCACAATAGCTAAGACCTGGAACCAACCTAAATGCCCATCAATGGTAGACTGGATAAAGAAATTATGGGATATGTATTCTTTAGAATACTATACCGCAGTAAGAAACAATGAAATCCAGTCATTTGCAACAAAATGGAGGAATCTGGAACACATCATGCTGCGTGAAATAAGCCAGTCCCAAAGGGACAAATACCATATGTTCTCCCTGTTCGGTGACAACTGACTGAACACCAAAAAGGAAACCTCCTGAAGTGAAATGGACACTATGGGAAATGGTGACTTGATCAGCATAGCCCTGTTAATGAACAACTTAATACATTATCTCTCTTAGTATTTTTTTTGTCTGTTCTACTTAATATGACTGGTTTAATTCTGTAATTAATACACAGTTATTCTTAAGTGTTGAAATTAAACTGAAATATGATCCCTGTTAAACATAAGAGTGGGAATAAGAGAGGGAAGAGATGTATAATTTGGGACATGCTCAAGCTGATTTGCCCCAAATGGTAGAGTTAGAAACATACCAGGGGATTCCAATTCAATCCCATCAAGGTGGCATGTACCAATGCCATCTCACTATTCCAAGTGATCAATTTCAGTTCACAATTGATCATAATGAAAGGACTAAGAGTCAAAGGGAGCACATAAACAAGTCTAGTACCTGCTAACACTAACCGATAGAATAAATAAAGGGGAGAGTGATCCAACATGGGAAGTGAGATACACAGCCGACTCATAGAATGGCGGATGTACTAAATAGCACTCTGGCCTGAGAATCAGCCCTAAAGGCATTCGGATCTGGCTGAAAAGCCCATGAGAGTATTTCAGGCATGGAAAGCCAAGACACTCTGGCAAAAAGATCTCTGTGAGTGAGATCCCAGTGGAAAGAACAG